CTCCTAACATTCCTACCAGACCTAAAGGGTCTTGTATCAATTTGGGGGGGGGGACCTCACACTTTTGTTTTTTCTTCTGCAGACTATAAAAAAAAATAATCTTTTTTTTTTGTCTAATTTCACTTTGCTGCAACGAAAATTAGTCCACAAATGAAAACTAGTACAGACTACCGCTAACAGATTTGTATCCATACCCCAAACCAAATTGACTTTCGGACCCGAATCCCGAAAAACAAAATAACGGAAAATCCGAATGAAATCGAAACGAAACACATTTTTTGCCGGTGCACATGTCTAAACAATAGTACTTATACTCCCCGGCCCCGTTTGTAAAAACCACAGGGCATGGCAGAGGAAGCTGGCATCCAACAAACACAAATATGATTAGTATAAAGAATTAATATACAAGTTCTTTCCAATGAAATGGTGAACTATTGTGACCAAATTATTTTATTCCCTGGTGTTCCCTTAATGTAAAGCATGCATACCTGTTACCCTCAAGATGGCAGACTCGTTTGGAAGCATGTGACCAATCAGTGGCTCCGTTGTCTTTTTCCAGCCATTGGTTGAAGTGTCGGAAGCTGGTATCAGTCATCTGCACAACATAGATCTCCTTGACAAAACTGCTGACTGAAAAGAGTTGGTAGGGTATGGACCCAATGCTGATATCAAGCACTTTTTCTCCTTTCAGCTCACCTGTGGGAAGAAACAGCAATGACTCCACAATCCTTTTAAAGGTAAACCCCAGGCAGATATAAAAGACACAATTTAATGCAGCTCTGTACTCAATATATAATCAAATGCATTTTTATAATGCAAGCAGTGTAATGACCTCATTAAGACTAAGTATCAGTCTCCTGTCGTCCATGCATAGCAGAGCTAAGAATGCAAGAGGGAGAAACAGTACAGCTACCCAATCTGTTTACCTCAGTTCCTATGTGCTAAACATGTATAGTTAATCCAAAAGAAGATATAATATTACTCAAAGAGTAGCCCAATTTTAATAGCAGTTAGATACTTCCTGGATCAACATGCTACAATATGACTTCCTGCAAGTATTAGTATATTTTGTGCAGTGGCGTAACAATAGGCATAGCGACCCAGGTGGCCGCTATGGGGCCAGGGCAGGACACCCCCCTGATGCCGTGCGGCCACCTGGGTCGCTACAGGTTCGAACACGCCGCTGTTCAGATCACCGTGATCTGGGCAGCGATGCGTTCTTCTCCATAGCCGCTGCTGAGTCAATGAGAGTCAGCAGCGGCGGTGGAGGAGGTGGGGCCCGGGGGGTCAGCATCAGAGAAGGAGGCGGGGCCGGTGATGGAGGCGGGCCCGGCGACGGAGGAGGGAAGACGGAGGAAGAAGAGGCGGACAGGTAAGGAGTGTGACCAGCCCACCTGAGGGTGACCCTGCAGAGCCCACCATAGAGAGTCTATGGTGGGCTCTGCAGGGTCATCCTCAGGTGAGCTATGTGGGCTCTTCAAGGGGTGTAACTAGAAATCACAGGGCCCCATACAAAATTTTGCTATGGGGCCCTGTGATTTCTAGTTACGCCCCTGATTTTGTGTGTTTAAAAACAAATCCAGACCTTGTTTCAGTGAGATGAGTTGACTAGAACCAGCTCATGTGAAATACTATTTTCACATCATTCCAGCATTTACTCGGGGGGCCACTGGACAAATGTTTTGGTCCTGTGGGGGCCGCTACTATATACGGTACCAGTGTTAATGTCTGCACAGGTCACAAGCGCCAACTGTCACCTATTCAAGCTAATGATCAGGTGACAGCCTGCACATCGCATGTAATCCTATATGAAAGGAATACATGCAGTTAGGAATCAATCACTATCCCTTGAGGGATATTGAGGGATAAGATTGTTTTTCTAACTGCATGTAATTATATCACATAAGATGACATGCGGTATGCAGGCGTGTACATGCAGTGGCTGTCACCTGATCATTAACTTGAATAGGTGACAGTTGCTGCATGTAAACGCCAGATTAGGGATTCCTGTGCAGGAAAAAGCGAGTTTGTAACACAGGAATCTCTAATCGCACCAAAAAAATATGGGCGTGAATGGGGCACACACACTAATACACTCCCCCCCTGCACAAATAAAATAATACACTCCCCCCCTGCACAAATAAAATAATACACTCCCCCCCTGTTCCAAGTCTCCCCCCATTCCAATCCCCCCCCGCACACATAATAATACACTTCCCCCCTCCCTTCCTTCCAA